TGCAAAAGGCCTGCGGGCTTTGACTGGCAAAGAGGAGGCCGTTGGGGTTGGCCGAGTAGAAGATGGGCGCTGCGACGGTGTGCGGTGATCCGACAGAGCAGGCGACTGAGACTTTGGCCAATGAGGGCGGTGATGTGGCTGTGGATAGTCCAATCTCGTGCATGCCAAAACTGGTCGATGCGTGCGGTGGTGGTGCGTGAGTGGGAGGCAGGCCACCAATCAGATTGGCCATGCCGGGGTTTGGCGGGGCAATTGAGAAGGCCGGACCAGAGGACAGTTGCAGGGTGGAAGGAGGGGCGAAGTTGTCCTCGTGGATCATCCCGGCTGGGGGCAAGAGAGCGAGGGAATCGGCGAGAGAGACAGCCGGCGCCAGTCCTGGCGAGGTGAGCATTTCCGGCAGAGACGGAGGCATCGAGAGGCCGACGGAAGAGCTGGCCTGGACGACAGAAGCCGAGAGACGTGACGGCGTCGAAAGCGAGCCAATTGACACAACCGGCGGCGGCATCAAAGCACGATGAGGCCCTGTCTGTTGGGCATGCAGTTGAAGGGAGCCCGACTCGACCGGCGAAGCATGAAGCAGCATCGAAGGCAGGCCGGAGCCCGTCGTGGACGACAGAGACGGTGAAGTGAGTGCTGGTGGGGGCCCGGAACCGGTGCCAGCCACGGCTCCGGCTGCGGCCACAGTCGATTGACCAATTGAAGAGGCAAGCGAAACCGAGGGTCCAGAGAGTAGACAGGAGAAAGGGTGCTGATGATGATGCTGTTGCTGCTGTTGTTGTTGTTGTTGTTGTTGTGACAACTGAGGCGGAAGCGAAAACGAGAGAGCCGTCAGCGAAGAAGCTGAGGTTGGCACAGAGAGATGGGGAGTGGAGAGCAGTTGTCCGGGCCCAGGAAGCAAAGAGGTCAAGGTCGAACCGTTGCTGCACACGTAAGCGATGCCGCCTGTCGCTGGGGCGGCCATTGGAAAGCCGGTGCTGTTGCCGATTGTGGAGGGTATGGCAAGCCCGAACCCGTCCGGAGGAGGCAAGGGCTCGGATCGTCGCGTCCACATTGTGCAAGGACGGAAGGGGACTGGAATATGTAAAGGAGATAAAAGAATGAAACAATGCAAAACGGGAGGGCGTCAACAAATGACTAATAACTGTTTAGCTGACCTTCCTTTAACGTGCAAGTTTCTCCGAAAAACGTCACCCAAGTCGAGTTGCCCATCACGACTTGACTACGGTTGATCGCAATGCGACCTCCAGACCTCGGTTACGGTAAAAGGCCGCTTGACCTCGACTCCATTGACAAGTGATTGACATGATCAGAACTCGAGCTCATTCCTATGACCAATCCAAGTAAGCATCAAATCAATTAAACAAACAAACAGTCTATTCCACACGAAAATGAAACGCGAATTGCAACGGCATCAGTCAGTGGCGGAGGGTTCCAAGAAAACAGAACAGATCAAGGAGAATCCGCCATCATTAGTTGACGAAATCGATGTAAACAGATCTCTCCATCACACACTTTCGTACCAAGTATAGATAAAAGTGTTTATACATGAAACTATTCAGCTTGTAGAAGATTTGATCAAAGCCAGTTGTAGTGACGTGAACAATACACCCTGTAAATTGTATAAAAGATAACATGCTATAGAATTTCGCAACCAAGTTGTGTAGATATGGGAGAGGGCATAAAGCCAGTTGATCGTATGCATGTTGTCAGGATAATGAAGAACTGAGCTGGAACGGGACAAACGATACAGCTTGAGCGAATGGCGTAGGCAATAAATAAGTCGTGGCATACACCCAACGCAGATAAGTGAGTTTAATTTAGAGTAGATCCTGCGGTAGCAGAGCAAGTGGATTATTGTGGATGAGGAAGTGAAAAACGGCCAGTCAAGACGTTGTCTGGGCGGTGGAGGCTGTCTAAGCGCGGTAGACTCTACGCGGAGGTCTGAACGACTTGTATTAACCACAGATGCAAAGGGAAGGAGAAGAGCACGAGAATGTGATAGACATTAGAAGAAGATGATACAGTCGGCGACATAACGTCGTCGCGATTAAAGGCTCCATGAGTCAAATGAGACGAGCATCGGCACTTTCGGGGAACGGAATGAAAGGAAAACGGCAGAGGCAAGAGGGAAGATGGCGCTCAAATGGGGCTCGACTCGACGAGGCCAATTGGCCTCAAGGGCTGCAGGCCACTGTGGAAATCAGCGAGTGGAGAGTCCTTTTTGCCTGCGTGATTTGAATGTTGACTTTTGATCGATTAGAGAGGTCTCAATCTGATTGGTCCAAAGCTAGGCCTGTTGGAGTGGCGAGATGTGATTGGCTAGCACTAAAATGAGTGCAAATATTCACAAGTGGCCTTTGTGTTAAGTGAGCGTTGGGCCATAACTAGACACGTGATGTAACCAAACTAACGGTTTTGGCGACAAAGCGTAGGGATATGATGCCATTTGAGAGGATAGCAACTTTAAATAATATTTTATCACTTCACCATCGAAAGCCAAATTGCTTGTAGTAATAATGATTGATTAAGGACTATTAAATATTAACGATAAATTAACACAAATCAGTAATCATCGTTAAATAAGTTTGTTCTTATTATTATTATTGGTTAACCAGTATTGATTGCCGGTTACTTTTGATTGACATCATCATCATCATCATCATCATTATTGTTATAAATTATCCATTTCCATTTCGAGTGAGTGTTTGGTGAATAGATTCGAAGTTAATCAACAGCTTCCATTCCGAATAAAACAGCATCAACATGAGTATTCCAATAAAGCCAATCGGCGGGTGGAATCGACCTTCGAGCAAACACTTTCACTCGAAATGGAAGTAAGCTCAAGAATTGTGAAACAAGATAACCATCGAAACCTAACTTTTCTTCGTATAGAATAAATAAAAATGGAATACTATAAATAATTGGTGGTAGTCGTTTAGTAGTAAGCGTTTAATGCAAATGTAGCAATTCTGCTCACAAGTTCGTAGCAAGAGGTAAACGGTACAATTGAAACGTTTCTGATTTCTGAGCTTCGTAACCGGTATTGCCGAGGGAAGAGAGAGCATCGCCAAAAGATGCCGGTTTGGACTGATCTATTGTGGGCCGATAGCGAGTCGGCAGACGATGAATCCGGGGCAATTTAAACGGCTCTTCTCAGATAGCCTCATTGAAAGGGCCAAATTTGTTGCAACAGGCAGAAATTCTAATCGAAAGTGTGAAAACCAAGATGTGTGGTGGCAGTATCCTTTCGTTGTATAGACGTTGTTTGACCTTGTTTTTGCAACTTGGTCATGTTGGTAGGACGACTTAGAGGAACGCACCTTGTCCGGAGTCCGTTGTATGCATCATCATTTACA